CTTTAGAACCGGACGATTTCCGATTTTTTGAGCGATCTGGTCCCTTTTCACGATTTCCGAGTCGAACCGGGCGAGTCCGGTTCGACTCGGTGTTTTTTAAAACGCTGATTTGAACACAACGTTCTTTTCGTACATGCGACATGACTTTTTTTACCCTAAACACAATGAAGTCATATTTCATTTGAAATTTAAGAAAGTGAAGTGGTATTCTATGAATTTACTGCTTGCTTATTTTGTTCAATGTAATACATTAAGATCAATGAAAATGTGCAATTTCTTGTGTTATTATAATTTTTATATTTTTATATAAAAGTGAATATTAGTAGTAAATCAATTTAATAAGACTTTCTACAGTATAGTTAAACGGCTATATTTTCTACATAAATTTGTAATAAATAAATAAGAAAAATATTTTACTTTTCAGCATTTGAGTGTTGGGGGGCATTTTTGAAGAAAAATAGAAACAATTGATGTAGTTATAAAAGCCCAGGAAAATCAGGCCAAGTGGATGATAGAATACTGAATCGGGCCCACCAAATTGAGAAATTGGGACCCACATGGAACCATATGGCCTATGGTGGGATCCACATGGGACCACATGGCCCATGGTGGGGTCCACATGGGACCACATGACCCATGGTAGGGTCCACATGGCCCACATGCTAGCATAAACCACATGGCCCGCATGCCCTTACAAAGCCCACATGGCCCGTAATGATCATATTTTTAACCGCTTTTCAACAGCCATATTTCTAACGGTCATATTCCCAACAGCTATATTTCCAACAGCCATATTCCCAACGGCTATGCTCCCAATGGGTACATTCCCAACAATCATATTTCCAATGGCCATATTCTCAGAGCGACTATATTTCTATCCGCTATACTCTCAATGATCATATTTGGAAGGCTTATGAATAGGGGCTAGCTACCCAATGGAAAGACAGAGTGAAGAGCCATAGGGTGAAGGGTGCAAAGTAGAGGGTGTAGAGCAACTGAGGGCATGATGCATAGCAAGAGAGTGCAAAGCAAGCAAAGAAAAGCGAGAGAGATCAAAAACTCATTTCTCTCGAAAGATCACTAAAGGAAGGTTCAGATTTTTGCAGTCAATAGTCGCACGGCATGACCTAGGCTCGACTTACACTCTCGCCTGCTCATATTCAAATCAAAATTTTGCTTCAACTAGTATCAAAGTGATCCAGGTTCTATCTTGCCCATACTCTGAAATTTATTTTTCTCACTCTAGTGAAATTCCTTAAATTGTCACAAAACAAAAACAGAGAAAAAGAGAGAAAGAGAGAGAGCCAAAAATTCTGGTCTATGTACTATGGTTGCTCTGGGAAGTAAGGTCCTTCAGCCATTGAAGGTTAACCTCGTCAGGTGCAATACCATTGTCCACCCTAAAGAGCAGGGGCATCTCGGATATCCTATAAATGGGAGGTCTAAGAGAGTCTGGTTATAACAGACTCAGGAGCAAGCATCCCCACCTTTACTTGTTTTATTTTAAGCAATAAATGATTGTCGTTTTAGCTTAAGGCCTCTAATTACCTGGGTTATGGAGTCACCAACACTCGAGCACCTTTTAAAGCACTTAGTAATGGAACTATAAGAGCAATCATTTGTAGACAAAAGAGCATTATATGAATACTAATATAGATGAAATCACAATTGTCAGATCTCCATCATATGGTTCAGAATGCATATCACTTTATGAATTTTAATATTTTTTTCTAGAAATTGGACCATAATGAAATTTTATACCTGCATATTAAACAATAAGGTACAAAATTAAAAAATATAAAAAAATTATTTCCCAAAATATGAAATTACTGAAATACCTATGAAAAATGATGGGGGTAATTTGGTGATTTTAAATTATTGAAATTAATTATTATTTTATATATATTTATATGGTGCTCAATAGTGTTAAGTATATACACCCAAAATTTTATCTTAATCAGATTTATAGAAAAAAATTTAAAATTAAAATAGTGACATATATTTTGAATCACTCAATGAAGATCTGACGGTTACGATTTCACCTATATTACTATTCATTATAGCTGCCCAATTATTGTAAGGTTTACTCTTAACCTTTACTATCATGTCAAGTAAATATGATAAATTACATCACAAAATTTTGCTCGTTAAAATGTTATAAACAGCATATTAAAAAAAAAAAAAGTATAGAGAGAGTCAAATAAGCTTAATAACTTCGAAACCTTTTAAGGGAAAGATTGGATCTACCATCGGCATGGCACAAGAATCCATATTGATCCATATTCTTCGACTCCCCTCGGATGAAGAAAGAAATTTGTCTGCCCACCTAGCAGCCCGAGACTTAACAAAGTCAATATCTGAACTCAAATGTTTCCTGGCATAGCTTTGTTATCTTTCATACTCATCTTTTTTTTTTTTTTCTATATTTTCAAAGTCAAGTAACAAAGTAAGAAAAAGATATAAAGACAATCTTATCTAGTTTAAAGTAAAAAAAACGATATTTGTAAAATTAAACAATGTAAAATTTGACTAAATTTAAAGTCCTTCATAATTTCATAATTATCGTGAATGAGATGTTTAAAATCTAAAAGTAATAATTTTGTAATTTGGTTCAAAAATATAAATTAAGAATTATGTTTATGTTATTTTTTTAAAATAACTTGATTCTTAATTATAATATTTGTCAATATCCAAAAAATTAAGTCAAAATAATATATATTTGTTTTATCTAATTTTCAGATATTAAAAAATCTGAAAGTAAGATTGTGTTAATTGTTATTTATGATATTTTTTAAAAAATAAACTTATTTTTTATTTCATATTTTCGATGTAAAAATAATTTAACATGTTAATTTCTAAATTTGATAAATTGGACTCCATTTTCACCCATTACTCTT